TTTTTTTATCAAAACTGGACTCAGACTCGGACTCGGACTCGGGTGGTGTGGACTCGGACTCGGGTGGCGCGGACTCGGACTCGGACTCGGACTCGGACTCGGGGGGTGCGGACTCGGACTCGGACTCGGGGGGTGCGGACTCGACTACAACACTGGTATTATGTGAATTGAATGAATAGGACTGATTATAGTGTTGGAAAGGAAAGATATTAAACAAGACTTTGTATTTGCAGTGATAGAAGACTCAGATGATGACGTTGTAGAAAAGGGTAAGCTAATTATCTTTAACTTATTATGATACAGCTCCCTGTAAGTGAAAAAGAGACGTTAGGAGGCTTAAGTTTCTGAAGTCTTTGGAGCATGAACCTCTTGACTGCTTACACCCTATACTGAACAGTGTTGACAAAGATGTGGATTTTCCTTCAGTCAGCAAACCTATTTTACCAGATGAAGGCACAGACAGTCTAGCTGGTAGGTTGATGCATCATTTTCCGTTATATTTTAAGCTGCTCCCTTTATCAAGGTTTTAGGTCCTAGATAAGAGGACTTGAGATTGGAATTCTTTTTAATTTTGACAGTTTTATCCCATTGTTGCACAATTATGGTTTTCCATCAATTTAGTTTTAAACTGACTGGTTTTCCCTACTGAAATTGAAATCTTTGTTACATTAAATTTTTTTGTAGAACAGAAGCAAACTCAAAGACTCCCCGCACTTGAGAAATCTTTGGTTTTCAGATGTGTGCAAAGTGAAAGACGAGCTGGAGATAGATGTATTGATAGTGGCAGATTATTTATGGTGTTTCCAGAGTGGGCGTACCATAAGGATAGGTCAACCAGTTGCAGTAGAAACGAAGGTAGGATGGGTGCTGTCAGGGCATTTGAAGGGTAGAATCAATAGGGACGGTTCAGGAACACAAGTGAACCTTATATCCAGGGAGAATGTCAGGTCAGAGCAGGATAGTATAGACAGGGATATCCATAAGTTATGGGATTTAGAAACCCTGGGAATTAGAGAGTGAGGATGTAAGTGAGAAGTTTGCTGATACCATACGATTTACTGGGCAGAGGTATTCAGTGAAATTGCCATGGAAGGAGAGCCACAGAACGCTGCCAAGCAACAGTCTAGGAAGAATGAAAAGCCAGGTTAAGAGGCTGAAGAGGGAGCCAGAGATACTAGAAGAGTATGATGCAATAGTTAAAGAGCAGCTAAGTTCGGGTATCACAGAAAAGGCGGTTGATCTTGAACCAAGAGGAAAAGTTCACTATCTGCCACACCAGTGTTGAGATTTCAGGGGGGGAGTGAAGAGTTGTGGAGATTTCAGGGGGGAATGACGCCATACAACCAGAGACCGGCCACCGCAACAGAGGTAGGAAGGTTTTCCCCAGCGACACAAACGAGCGAAGGGGAAGGGGGTCCCATATGGCTACCAGATGTGGGAGATCAGGGAGTTGCGACATCACGTACACGCGCAGTGAGAGAGAGCGGCGCCGGCAGAGCACGTGGCAGACAGGGGGGTGTGGTGCTCAAACATACACTGGACTAAGGGGGGTTGCATCACCTGTACACGTGTTAAGCAAGGGACGGGACGGAGAGGCACGGGACAGGGAGGTACTGCCAGGTTCCTACGTCATCGCAGGCCCCTATATAAGCAGCCAAGTTCCAATGGTAAAATCAGTCAGTCTTCGAACGGACACGAACGAACGAACGAACGAACGAGCAAACGAACGAACGAATGGACACGAACGAACGGACACGAACGAACGAACGAACGAACGAACGAACACGAACGAATGAACGAATGAACGAACGAACGGGCAGACAAACGGACAAACGAGCGAGTGAGGGAGAGCACGCACACACACCGTCGGAGGGTGAGCCCTGCGAGCCGGATAACGCCGAGAAGGTATACCTTATATATATACTAAGGAAGCTATAGCCGACACACGACAGGGAGACACACTGACAACCCACGAACTCGCGCCGAGCCGCGCAGCGCACGACCGGGAGAGACAGAGACGGCTACAATATTAACCTGTAGAATAGCTAAGAGAAGTAAACGTGTAATCGCCTAACGAGATAACGTAAACGTGGCACGAGCAATATATATTATATATATATGTATATATATCTATACGCTATATTCGAGATACTTGCAGTGAGTGTTGTGTTATCCATGTTATCCGTATATGATGAATAAATCCATCAGTTGTATAAATACTATCTAAAGACTTGCGTTCATTTCACTCTGGGTTTTCCTGCTACTGCATCACCGTCATACCTTCGCGGTAGGAGCGAAAAATGATCCCGAAACAAATAAATTCCACGTGCTAACCACAGCGCGTAGGAAAATCCAGTGTGGTCACCCCTAGGGCCACTACACCAGGAAGTAATACGTAGGGAAGCAGCAACAACGAAGCTGCGGATCGTATATGATGCGTCAGCAAAAGAGAGTGAGATGGGAACCTCACTAAATGACTGTCTGCATGTGTGCCCCACACTTAACCCGCTACTCTACAAGATTTTACTAAGGTTCAGAGAAAATAAAGTATGCTTGGTGAGAGATATTGAAAAGGTATTTCTGTTGATAGAGGTAGATGAAAAAATCGAGATAGTTTGAGATTTCTTTGGCCAGTAGATGTACTGCAAGGAAATATGGAGGTAGAGGAATATCGATTTTGTCGTGTAGTTTTCGGGGTGAATGCATCGCCGTTTTTGCTATACGCGACACTGCGGTATCATATATCTAAGTATGCAGAGATGGATAAGGAATTTGCCAGGAAAATGGTAGAAGGGTTCTACGTGGATTACCTGGTAACAAGAGAATGTACTGCTGATACTGCCTATATGCTTTATGAGAAGGCTAGAGATGGCGGACGGGGGATTTAAACTTAAGAAGTGGGTGACTAATGATCGAGAGTTGAGAAAAAAAATACAGTCAGAGGACACTGTTAGTTTGCCCAACTGTAAGGCGAGTAGGTTGGATGAAGAGGAATCGTATGCAAAGTCAAGCTTAGCAACAAATGGGTGTGCAAAAGGTCATAAGGTCCTAGGATTGGACTGGGATTACGAAGCAGATAGCATCAGATTAGAGTTCGGACCGGTTGCTGAGAAAGCTGAGAATTTACACACACACACGCACACACGCACACACGCAGACACGCACACACGCACACACGCACACACACACACTGTTCTGTGGGAGTAAATTTCGGGTGGCGCTTCCTCTCTGCCATAGCATTAGTTCTAGAGCTATCTCTGTCACAGCGCTGTTGCTTATGTATATGATAGAACGTAACCTAGCAACTGCAACACATGTTTGTAGTTATCTGCCAGCTGACTGCCTGCTTTCCTCCGCTATTTAGCGGAGGCATAGCGGAGCGTTTGTGAAACAAGAGTTATCCGTTCTCTAAGTTCTCCGTTATGCCTCTTAACGGCGAACTTTAGCGAACGTTAGTGAAACGCGCCCCTGGTGAGGCTGCAAAGAGTATGCAGGTGATAGACCGCTCGTCCATCATCCATGCCCATGATCATGCTCTGTCATTGCCTGACCTGGCAACGCATCTGGCCGAAGGTTTTATTGCTGGGCATAAATGCTATCACATTACAAGAAAAATATGAGGAGGCCTAGGCTATGTCAAATGCATGCATTTCATTCCATCATTGCAAAATAAAATGTTACTTCTTCAGTTACTGTCGACCTGTGTAGTGTTCTCTTCTGTTCACTAATTTTTAATTACAAAATGGATTCAAATTAAAAAAAACAGTGGCTACATGTAGATGTAGGCCTACATGTAGCAACTGATGAATTTATATTATTGAAGGATGTTGGAGCAATGAGCGATATTAATATTCTATGCATTTTCGTGAATTTCCTTTTAGCTACTTTTTGCATCACGATTTTTTCGGATGAAGGATTCCTTTTCGATCTAGACGGCGTATTTTCAGTCACAGCTTCAGATGTAAGGGTAAGTAGACTACATATTTTTATCACGCAGAATCTTGAAAAAGAACAGAATTTATCTGCAATGCTCAATTTTCACGTGGGGACAGGATTCCCCCTTCGGCATGTCACAAAGCAAACATGTTTCCTGGCCGGGGTCGAGGTTGAAAGCCATCTTGTTTTGTGGGCTAAATGTCCCTGTTTCCAGGAATCGATGACCTAACTGCACTGGTTAACCTGTGGGTGTGGTCTTGGTGCATGTACACATGTTCTCGTTTAAGTTATAATTTCTGGCGGCCAAGCCAAAAATCAGATAGGACCGACATTTGGTCTGTGAGTTATTCCATAAAGAAATAAACCATAAAGGATCAAGTCCCAATCTTGATTTTACCATATTTTATTGATTCAAACGTCTCCCCTGACGTCAGTTGTGAACCGATTTTTATTATTCCTTTGATAGATCTCGGTCATCTGAAACAAATTTCATCAAAATCCGTCCAGGCGTTCCGGCACGATAATTCGCTTCACCATAGCTCGCTCTTGAAGATTTATGGATTTATGGAGCTTACATTTTTCACATCACATTCGATATCTCCATAAATACTGGACGGATTTTGATGACAGTTATACTATTTTATTTAGATTACCTAGATCTATCATATATAAAGGAATAATAAAAATCGGTGCACAACTGCCGTCAGGGGAGATAGTGCAGCAGATAACCACAACCATTGTGCATTTTATGAG